AAACTGACAAAGTTGTCATCAGATAAAAACATCAAGGAAACCAAATACAGCCTAGAAGTAAACCTAAATATATATGGGAAATGCAGCAAATTATAAAAGATATTTCAAATCTTGGAGGGAAAAGATGGATTATGCAACAAATGGCACTGGGGCAACTGGGTTGTCATCTGGAAAACATAAAACTAGCTTTCTACCTTACACCATAATAAATTCCAGATGAATCTGTTAAAAGTAAAATGAGAAACCACACAAATTCTGAACCAGAAGAAACCACATGGAATGTCTGTATAATGTATAATGCATATGTATAATATATGCACAGTGCATAATGTATAATGCATTTCTGATTATGACACAAAACTCAGAAGCCATACAAGGCTGATAAATTTAAAAAAAAAAACTGCATGGCAAAAGTCCAAAGGCAAAGGCAAAAAAACCCTGGAAAATAAATATTTGCAAATTCTAAAGACAAAGGACAATTTCCTTGAAACTTAAAAGAGCTCCTAAAAAAACAATAAAGATCAACAACCCAACAGACATGGCAAAGGATATGGAGAGCTTGCCAAAAATAAAGGTTCACTTGAAAAAATATTCAACCTTGCTTAGAAAAGGACTGCAAAATAACATCACACTACACTGAGATGTGTTTCTCACCTAACCAAATGGCAGAGATCTGGGGAAGGGGATGAGGGTAGCTAACTCTTCATACTAGTTAAAGGTATACAAACACGCACTCACACACTGCTGTGGGAATTCCAAAAGGTGGATCTCGGCAATATCTAAAGTAATCATGTAAGTACGGAACCATCATCCCACTTCCAGGTTTCTATTCTATAGGTACACTTACTGAAATGTGAAAAGCTATGCATACTGCTTATCATATGTATTGGGCTGGCCAAAAAGTCTGTTTAGTTTTTTCCATAAAATAAAAGACATTTTTCATTTTCACCAATAACTTTATTGATTTGGATATTTTGAGTAAGTCAGCTATCTTCTGCTATTGGCTTCTAGTAGGTAGAGGCCAAGGATGCCACTAAACATCTTCCAATGAATGCATCAGACAGCCCCACAGCAAATAATTATTTGGCCAAAATATCAATGGTACCAAAAAACTTCGCAAACCACTTTTGATATGTTTGGTCAGTCACAGCACCTTCTCCATACACTGCACCAATCTTTTATTTTGTTTCAGTTGCATTTTTAGCTTTCTTGAAATCATAAAGCATAATACACCGAAAACGTTGCGTATCCTTCCATCTTCAATATTAAGATGGCTGCACTAAAATTCACCAATTCCATTAAGTTTATTTTTAAATGCATGCTGATACGACAAATGTCACAATACAATCCAACATTATTGTTTTGAATAAAGTTAAAGACAACTAAGCACTACTAGAGCTATTCTACAAAAAAAACGTTACAGACTTTTTGGCCAACCCAATAGATGACACATATGTAATATGTCAAAGACACTGAGTTGTCTGTAATGGTAAGGTGGAAACAAAATGTCCACCGATAGAGACTGATTAAATAACACATAAGCTAGAATGAAGAAGCTCTATGCACTGATAGGGAATGCTCATCAGGAAAGACTGCCAAGAGAAAGGGACAGACCGTGTGGGGAGTAACACGGCAGTCATCTGTTTGTTAACACAGAGTCTCTCTAGAAGACTGTACAAGCAACAAAGAGAGGGGCATGGCTGGACAAAGGGTAAGAAACCCAAAGGAAGACTACTACCCACCACATTCCTCCACTGAACACTTTAAAATCACTGTTTCAACATGCCCTTTAAAGAAATCAATCTCCTAAAGTAGTTCCAGTATGATGCCTACCATAAAGATTCTGAAACACAAAGGTGGGAGGGCACAATTCTCTCAATGCACTGAAAGCCAACAAATTGCATATTTTAAAGGCATAATTTTATGATATATGGGTTAAGTCTCAATAAAGCTGTTATTTTAAAAATTAAGCATATATGGCCATAGCACATTATCACTTACATAAAGAAAAGACTACAGGGGATAAACTTAAATTTCTCCCCAAACTATGGCTGTATATTTAAATAAAGAGGAAAGACAGAGGTAGTGTTAAGTCCAAGCCAACCATTACCACTATTCCCATTGTGCCTTAAGGAACAGCATACCTGCAGTACCTACCTGTCAGCTACTCAGTACAGTAAAGCAGCTGCAATCTACTCCTAGCTCTACCACTCTGAATACTTCTCTTTCTGAAAAGTAAAAATGTCTGTTTTACATTCCTCACACTTTTAAACTTCTATTGCAAGTCCTCAGAGCAATAAGAATTTTATAATAACATAGTAAGGGTTTGGAGAAACAAATGTAAATAGTGCCAACAGCAGTAAATATAGTTAAATGAAGTGTCACTTTAAATAGGATAAAGAATGAAGCAGTCAACATCTTTATCTCTAAAAGATAAACATAAAGTTTCTAGGCCCAGAGTTTAAAACAAAACACAACAGCTTACAAAAGAAATACAAACAGAGCTTTAATGGGGCTGCTTTCTCAGGTTTACACTAAGTGTTAGATTTAGAGAAACTAAGGCAGCAAAATGCGTAAAGGCCAGATTTCCTTTGAGTTGCTTACTCCAAGGAACAGAAGAGTTTATCAATGTCAGGCCTTAACTTTAAATCAGCAAAGGAACAGAAAGTTAAATGAACTTGGTTTAGCAATGACGTAGGGGATGTAGGGAAAACTAGATACCACAGTTGTTTTGAAATAAGGAAGCAATACCCCAAGGTTACTCATTATAACCTCGTTATTAAAGTCAGGCAGAATTCTCCAATTTCCCAAGGATGAGCAAAAAAACGGTTAGTTCTAAGTTACGTATCCAAAAATCAATTTAGAAAACATGAACACTCCGTGACACAAACACTTTACTCTGTAACAACATGCCTTCCTCAAGTTAGCATTCCTCTGTAAAAAGTCAGAGAGGACAGAAGGAAGCCCTCAGTGCACATCTGCTGGGCACTTCACACATGACCTCATGTGACCCTCCAAACAAGCAGGTAGTTTGAAGCAGGTAGTTTGCCCTCTAATGAGAACACTGGAGGATGGAGGGCTCTGGCCAAGGTCACTTCGTTGGTCAATTCTGTGCCCATATGGGTAGGGGGGTGGGAGGATGGATAGATCAGCCCCTTCATCACATTGAAGGGATTTCTGACTTGACAGAAAGTCTTTATGGTATTTTTTCCCCTAGCTTTTAGCTTACTGCCCCACCAAAATAATGACCACCATCTTCTGCTTTTAATAAAGCAATGCATCTGCACATACAAAAGACCCCCCTCAAGAGCTGAGTAAACTGGAATCACAGCCATGGATGTTATCCATGTATGGCATTTAACCTAAAGACTAACAGCGCATGAAGCTGACCTTAGGGGACTGAAATCTCATAAACAGGTGACACTCCACTAGCACTCCAAAGCTTACTGAGCTCCTACAGATCACCACGTTCCCTGGGACCCAGCTTTCTCTTTGCTGTAGCCGGGGTAACATTTTTTTGCTCAGTACACAACATGGGTGGGATCTGAACACTCTTAAACTTTTTCTTAAAAAGAAAACCACAGTCTCAGGGGTCAATGTTAACAAGAAAAAAAAAGGACACATTAAAACTAACGCAGGGACCACAACCACTTCTTAGAGGAAGACATTAAAGAAAAGCCACAATGCAGGGTTGGAAGATAGCTTAAAACCACCAGCAACAAACCAGAGAGTATCAAACATTTAACTTAAAGGAGCTTAGGCACCGTCAAAAAAAGATACTGAACACTACTGGTCCTGACTGTAATCTAATTTCCCAACGTCAGTGTGACACCTTAAATATGACACACTTGGTCAAAGAAAAATCTTTTTTCTCTTTTGGCACTGGGTCCCAAAGGGTCGTTTAAAATAAGTTTGAGCCCCACTTTGTTTACATAGTTTTGAAACATTTAGACAAAAGTTCACATTTCTAAGTGGATGACCATGATGCCCTTCCTGTTTAACTTGGAGACTGGAGATCTTTAACTTAACATAGCATTCTTAGGAGACTGACACCCTCAACACCCACAAAGAAAGCCTCTGAGAAATAACTGTCTCACATGCCACTGTCTGTTAAACACAAACAGAAACACAGACATGCATGTGGATTCATAAATACACACACACATATCGATACACTCATACACATTCACCAGTAGGTATACACATGCATACATGCACTCTCAAATACACGTGTACATGTGCTCACACACCCGTGCACACGCCAGGCTACAACCTTCCCCATCCCCCCCCTCCAGCCGCGACACCTGACCACTTAGCGGAAAAAGACCCAGCTCTGGGGTGCCGCACGATACCCCGAATGTCTATGCACGTTCTAGTGCCTTCTCATCTCCATCTCATAATGGCTTCCTTTTCTAGTAACAAACAACAGATTCGGAGAAACCAAGGCGACACAATGTGTAAATGTTTCTGTCGCCCAAGAGCCCGATTTAAGGAGACAAAGGCCTGAAAGAACCGCACAGGAGCTACGACCTCTGACTGGGGCTATCTGTCCGTCTACGGGAGCCAGGAGCGCGGCCCTCACTGACACCCTGTGACTGACCCCGGTGAGATGAGTGCAACAGCTCCAAGGGCGTGAGGTGCCAGACTGGTTTGGGGGTGCGGGGTTTGTGGGTCGAAGTGGGGACAGGGACTTTGGGGAAGGGTAAGAATACATGGTGGAGGCTTGGGACACAAATGTGGAGTGGAAGCTTGAGGTAAGTGCTTGGGGGTGCGAGGTGGCGACTCCGGGCACGGGAAGGAAGCTTGGGGTTGGGGTGGGGGTTTGGAGTGGAGGCTTAATGGACAGGTGGGCGTTTGGGACCCCAAGTGAAAGCTTGGGGAGCTAGTGTAATTTTGAGGTCGGGGGTGAAGGCTTGGGTGTGGGTGGGTTTGGGGGGAGCTCACTGGAGGCCTGAGGTGCGGGTGGGCGCGCCAGACCCGCCCCCCGCGTGGGCACTCACCTTGTGGCAAGACGGGCAGGTGGGCAGCGCGCTCTTGCCCCCGTGGCCCCCGCCACCGCCGCTCAGGCTGCTCTGAATCTGCGTGAGCTCCTGGCGCAACACCTGCTTCTGGTGGAAGCTGAAGGCCGGGTGGTTGGAGGCCATGGTGAAGAGCAGCAGGAACTCATCGCCCGTGCGGCCCTCGTTGAGCTGCAGCCCGTAGTTGTGGATGATGGAGTCGATGTGCGTGAGCGTGCGGTAGAGCACGCCAGCCGCCTCGCGCTGCTCCGAGCCCAACAGCGCCAGCGACACCAGCAGCTTGCTGCGCACCACCTCGTCTGTCAGGTTGGTGAGGCTGCCCAGGTCGGCGGGGTTGTTGGCCTTGATCTCTGAGTCGCGCAGCGAGTGGTAGTCCTTGCGCGCCAGGTCCTCGAGGCACGAGCCGAGGAAGCGCAACTCGAGAGGGATGCACAGGTCCAGCAGGCCGCACAGGAACTCCACGCGCTGTGGCGACGGCAGCTCCGAGAACCAACGGTACACACCGTCCCTCTGCAGCGGGCAGCGCTTCTCCACCATGCTGCCGCCCGTGCCACGCCGCCGCCCGGGGCCGGAGGCCGCCGCCCGGGGCCGGGGGCGCGGGGCGCGGCGGGTGCGAGCGGAGGGCGCGGCGGGGCCGGGGGACGGAGGGCGGGCGCCGCGGGCTGGGCCGGGGGCGCGCGGCGCGGGTGAGACCCCAGCCAGGGACGGGCGGGTGGGCGCGCGCGAGGCGCTTGGGGGGCCCGGGGCGGCCGGGGGCGGCGAGCGACCTCGGGCCCCCCGCTCACGGGCGGGCTCTCGGCCCGCGCCCGTCCCCAGCGGTGGCCGGTGCGCGGCGGCGGCGGCTGCTCCTCGTCGTCGTCGTCGTCGTCGTCGCCCGGGAGGCGGCCGCCCCCATCTCCCCCCGCGCCGCAGGGTCTGTCACTGTGGGCTGCCCCCCGACGGAGCTGCCCAGGCCATGCCGCCGTCGCCGCCGCCGCCGCACTTGTGCTGGCCGGCCGTTACTAGGACGGAGGCCGCGGGTGGGTGGACTGGCGCCTCAGGAGCAGCGGTGGAGGGACACGCGGGGCGCGGCGGCGTGCGAACGAACGGCGGAGGGATCTGCGCCGGCACTCGGCTCGGCCTCGAGTCCAGGCTTCTCTCACACAGGCTTCTCGCGCACAGGCTCCCCGCTCCGCGGACGGATCCAGGCGAGCGCAGTCGGGCTAACCGCTGACGGACACCGGGACGAGGCTCAAGTGGGCGGGGTGGTTTCCTCTCGCGACAGCGGGCCGGTAGGGCCCGCCCTCCCCACGCTGATTGGCTCCAACTGCTGCTTCTAGGCCCTTGATTGTTTCGGCTCCCCAATCTCGATTTACCCCCGCCGCGGCCACGCCTCTCCCGGTCTGTCGATCACGTAGGATCGCCCTGTCCCTCCCCTCCGTGGCCAGCTGAGTCGATTGGCCAGCAGAGCCGGAGGGACGGAAAACGCGGGGCGGATTAATGGTTGCTTTTGTTCTGACAGATTTGCGTGGAGCATTGTTTTAGGTAAAAGCCAGGTGTCCAACCTGCTTTATTCCTGAGCGGCACAATAGGAAGGTAGCAGGTGTCTTCGAAAAGCCGCTGGAACTGGGCTCCGGAGACCCAAGTCCCCATCCCTGCTCAGTCTGCTAAGCTGTGTGACCTTGGACAAGTCGCTTGGCCTCTCTGGGCCCTGGGTGCCTTCTAAGAAAATAAGGGTAGTAATAACCGCCCCGGGAACTTGTGAGCTCACAGAGGGCGGGCGCCCTCATTTCTGAGGCTATCAGCCTGCCTTGGGCATGTGATGGGAACAAGCTTTCTCCATTAAGTAAGCCTCCTTTCAGTGGGTTACTACTTTAGCTTAGGAACCAGAGGATGCAAATACACCGGAGATCAAAAAGCAAGTGAACTGTACTCTCCCCCCGCATTTGAATTGGCACTGGATTACAGGCTGAGGAAAGTTGGGGCACCCAACCACCTTTAAATTCTGCCACTGCAAGCAGCAGTCCTACCATCTACAAATAAAGAAACTGAAACCCAGGAACAAGAAATTCTTTCCTCCCCTGCCCTACACCTGGAGCCCTTCTTTTGACGTCTTGTGACCAAGGATGAGTCTGTTCTCTCAGCAATTCTATGGAGGCCTGGTGTGTATCAGGCTCTAAGCCCTGCTGGGCAGCCATAAGCAAAGTGGTGCCCTCACTGCCCTAGGAAGCTTACAACTTGGTTCTGAGCAATATGCAATAGAGAATCATTGAATAAATAAATTTCTTCAGGCATGGTCCAAGGTACTAGAAACTTCCTAACAAGAAATTCTCCATCCAGCCTTCATAGTTGGCAGAAAAAGAAAATTGCTTTCTACTCCTCTCTATACCTCTGAAAAATTTCCCCAGAGCCGCCCTGGTGTTCTTGGTCAGTGTGCAAAGGAACAGGAATCCAGGATAGCTTCCCCAGGGTATAAAATCCACACAGAAAGCAGGGGCGAGGTGGGGTCCAGTTGGGTATCCCTGCCTTATTTTCCAAGTCCAGACTAATTCCTACAAATAATTGAATCAATCTTTGTTCTCTTCAACCTCACTTTTTCAAGTGATTTCAAGGAAGCAGTCACATCCCAAAATCTACAATATGAGGGCATGAAGGAACGTGAAAGTTAAGACAGTTAACACCTTTGCCTTCTATTGGTAGATTAAGTTCCTCAGAATGGAAAGATCTTAGGATCTTATCAGCACTAGAGTTCTTCAAATCCAACCCAACCTGGCTGTGAAACCCTCAAGCTCTGGTGCCAAACCAAACTGGATTTCAGTCCCAGCTCTAGCCCCCTAGGCTACCTTGGCTCTTCACTCAACACTTACATATGAGAAGCCTCAGTTTCCTCATATGTAAAAGAGGAACCATGTCCCCCTCCAGCTGACAGTGGAGCTCAGAGATGTTCAGGAGCCCTCACTGGCTAGGACAATTGAGGCACAGAAGTCACTGGATCAAGATCCCTAGTTCCCCACAGCCTTTTTACCACTTCTTGCTCTGCTATTTGCTACCTAATGTTTGTACTGGGTTGAATAGTACCCTCCAAAAGACCATGTCTGCCTAGAACTTCAGAATGTGACCTTATTTGGAAATAAGGTCCTTGCAGATATAACTCAGGTGAGAACTGAGATGAGATCATGGATTACAGTAGGCTCTAAACTCAATGAGAGTGACTGAAGAGAGAGGAAAGAACAAGCAGAGACTCAGAGAAAAAGGTCATGTGAAGATGGAGGCAGAGATTAGAGCCAGGAATGCCCAGAGCCACCAGAAGCTAGAAGAGGCAGGAAGGATCCTTCCACAGAGCCTTCAGAAGGAGCATAGCTCTGCCCACACCTTGACTTTGGACTTCTGGCCTTCAGAACTGTGAGAGGATAAATTTCTGTTGTGTTAAACCACCGAGTTTGTGCTTATTTGTAATGGCAGTTTCAGGACACATACTATGTCATGTCTCCCTGCAGCTCCACTTCAGTCCATCTCAATTTATTATCCACTCAATGGATAATAAATCGTTATCCTACAGGATCAGACTCCACTAAAGGTTTGGGGGCTTCTAAGGAGAATGGGATCCAGCCCCTGCGACATGAAGGAACTGGCAGCCTGAACTCCCTGCCCCAAAGTAGACAGGCCCCCTGTCTGGAGGAGCTGTCCCTCCTGCACAATGTTCCCTTCCCTGGGAAGCAGCCAAGGGTCTCCCAGGAGATAGGGGTGGATATCCACCTGGCAGTCTGTACCTGCTCTCCCTTCCAGTAGTACAGCAGACTCCATCTCTGGGCTATTTGGAGGTTCTCACTTTCCCTTTCTCTGCAAAAGGTGACTCCTGGCTAGTGGAAGGGCTAGGGGTCTGTGGGAGGAAGTTGGGGAGGGGGGCACAGGGTAGATCACAGGGTGGGGCATGCCTCCTCTTGAGCAAAACTGAAGCTACAGGTAAAAGGCGGGGCTGTGTGTTCAGATAAGAAGAGAATTCCCACACAATGCTGAGTGGGACAGCAGTCCCACTCAGAGATTCACTTGCCCCTTCAGTCCATACTTGCCTTGTGTTTAACTGGGGCCAGGGGTTGATGGAGCAGTGGGCCCTGCCACTGGGGAGCTCAGTCTAGGATGGGACAGTATGTCTATTTGCACTTTCCATAGGGCTGGAATTGAGCATAAATTAGTACTATTTTTGAGAAAGATAGGGACTTGGAATTCACAAATTCCCCAAACAAATGATTTTGCAATAGAGACATGATGTGCCTGGGATGACTTCTTGTGTCTGAATTAGTGATACTGACTAAATCACCAGAGTGGGCAGTGACCAGGCTGAGACCAGATTGGCCATCTGGACTCCATGTACAGCCAGCCCCCTTCCCTCCATCCGTACTCTCACCCCCCTCCCCCCACAGCCTTGCTTTCCCTTTCTCATTTAGAATAGGGCAGAGAGGAGAAGCCTAGAGGCTAGGTAGGGATTAGGAAAATGAGAACAGAATTAAGACTGAAACATGGATTAAGACAAGGGTTCCTTAAACAGTTGGGGCTGGAGGTGCACATGCAGGCTCCCTGCCTTGATCTGCCTCTTCTTTTGCTCTGGGAGTGTGTTGTCAGGATGTGTGTGGTCTCAAGTGGGGTGGGTTTACTGAGTTACATTTTTCCTTTGTCCTAGACCCTGCCTTCTTGTGACCGAGAAGGCAAAGGGACCTCCACCTCTAATGTGAAACCTTAAGAAGTGGGTCCCAAAGCTTACTAATGGATTCTTGTCCAGCACCTCAACTTCTGATAGCCTCCGGTGACAGCCACAACCCTATGTGACTGGTCCTGATACTGCTGTCGTTGTTCCCATTTCACAGGCGCTCAGTGGTCAGCCATGGGCCAGGGCCATGCAGTTCATATGTGTTAGAACCAAATTCTGACCTAAGTCAGTTGCCCAGACTCTGTCCCTCTAGGAGGAAAGCACAAAGGTGACTTGTCATTTATTCACTATTTCTGGAAAAAACGAAGAGTCCAATGGTACCTGTCGCATGCTGGTTTTCCTAGCTGTGACTGCTGACACAGCAGTCACACCTGGAATCATAAATGGGCAGTTGTCCCAAACTGCATCCAGCCCTGTTTCTGCATGGCCACACACTTTCCTTCATGCAGACCTGCTCCCTAGGGTGTCTGGCCTTGAGCTACATGTGGTGTTTCGCTACTGGGAATTACCTGGGCTCTTATTTAAGATGCAGATCCCCAAGCCTGACCCTAGGTACAGACTGAGTCAGACTCCTGGAGAGGGGCCTTGGATTCTGCATTTGCCAGCTCCCTGGCGGTCCCCATACTCTAGTTTGAAACCTGCTATTGGAGTGGAGGTCATGCTTTCAGGCTTCTAGTGTGCTTCTCTGGATCAGCCAACAGCAACCACAGTAATAATCAGAGTTAAATTCATACTACATGCCTGCCAGCCAGCAAGGATCCTCCCTATTGACAGATTGGGAAACTGAGGCTTAGCGAGGTCATACAGCTCGTGGTTCACAGATTCTCATCATTAGGTTCTGCAGGCTACTTCTGTTGTATATTTGTTGTTGTTGTTTTTTTATCTATATTGCTTTTACCATAGTAATAAAATACTCTGAAAGTCAACAGTTAATTCACTGTTGCTCTCAGTTTTGTGTGTTTACCTTTTTTTTTACAATGG